AGCTTTTCAGTGTGTTCCTTTTGATTATAATAACGCAAAAAGCTAATCCACCTGGATTTTTTTAACCACCTGCATTTTTTAATTATCATAACTACCTAGTTAATAGTAATCCACCTGGATTTACTAGCTTTATTACTGTACACGTGTCACGAGATTATGTCCTTACCCCGACATGTATACGTCAAGATAGTCTCAGTGGCAATGTTGACGATTGCATGAAAAGTGTTGATAAAGTCATGACACAATGTCAAAAGTACTTTGCTAGCCTTATGTGAATATTATCTACGTGTCAGCGCACTGGTTTTTCAGATGTTTACGATGAAATCGCTTTTAATTAAGAGCCAAACTCTCGTTAGTGTGTACAATCAAAAGGGATTACTTTGCCTAACGAAGGGAGCGTTGCACTGTCTGGGTTGCGTTATCTTTGGCAAGCTGTCGGTGTATCGAGGTCGCATGTGCGCCTGTGAATCACATCGTACCGCGTTCATTAGGCGCGCACTTAATGGACGCCACGCCAGCGATGCGCGATAGGTGTCCTGCACATCCGATTTCAACACTGATCACCAGATACAAGGGCATGTGTGTTTGGTTACCAACATCACAAGCACTTCGTTGTATGGTGTATACTTTCGCTATTTAGCATGCTTTTGATTGCTTCATGGTGTGTGAATTAGATCGCTTCATAGAAATCATCAGCGTTCATCATAATATCTCCAGGTGCATACTGAGATGTTTGTCTTATTAGCGTGTAAACATTTTTTCGCAACGGAAAAGTCATTTAATGGTTTTAATAATAGAGATACGATAAAATGTTACATATTTTAGTTAAACAAACGCCAAATCAGTATCTTCAAAGTCTCGGCCCACATAAACTTCGATCGATCAATTTCATAATCCACTAAAACAGTTACACAATCTATTTTTCATACAAATATTACGGTTATGAGTGCGTGTGAATTAAAAAAATAAATCCATTTCACATTGAAGCGATCATAAAATGCATAGCCAATCGCCTCTCATGGAGCGCACGTGAAGGGCCGCCACTTAAGCAACATGTATTTGAAAGCGTATATAAACTGAGATGTTACATCCTAACGAGACGCCACGCGTGAGCTGTTAACGCTTCGCGCCGCGTTCTAATAGATGGGCCAAGAGAAGCCCACTTCATGCATTCACTTCGTGTAATTGAAAGTTCACAGCCATCTGCCACACCTCCTTGCAGCCCGTGCATGCCTACATCTCATGCTAACAGCGGAACTCTAGCAGTAAAGTTTTAAATAGATAGTCGTCATAACTGTAACAAGCGAACGCATGTTTTAATTAGCATGGATACTTTGAATTCACTCCATCGCCAAATGTATCGAGATGTCAAGATGTCAAATGTTAGTCTACTTTATGAATATGAAAGGAACCAAGTAAATACTTGCTAACTACGTAGCTGAAATCAGCTACGTATACCTGTGTGTTTTCTTACTATTATCAGACGTTCTAATAGTGACCATACATTATAAAATTTTAGTAATATAAATAGTAGATTAAAAATTTTTGAGCATAAAATTAAAGATTTTAAAAACTGACGGTTAACAATGAAATTCGCGCGTCTTACAACTCAGTCTGTCCCATGATCATAAATGCTTTGAACTTAACGAAACTCGAAAACGAAACTTCGCGAATAGTTATACATTAAATTATAAATTATGAATCCGAAAAAGTATCATTTAATAAGAATAATCAGTTATTAGTAGAAGAATCGTAATGAACGGACGGAGTCCAAATAATTATGTTTCGTCTGTACGGTAGTATGTGACCCTAATTCGAAGTAAAAAAGGAAAAGATCCTGATATCTGAAACTATGAATTGCAACCCAACGCCCGGTTTTTGAAACAATGATCATCGTAAAAGTTGTCAAATCGCTTTTCAAATATCATTTGAGTTGCTATATATGGTTAAACTCTTTGAATTGATCATTCTGATCATTAAGATTTTTCAGCTGATCAAATTTGACAGCATTAGTTAGATTTTAACGTTGATTGATTAGATTAGTTAACTTTTAACGTTGATTAGGATATTAGATGATTATTTTTCGCATAAAATCAAGAAAACAATATGTTGATTAGGATTTCAGAGACCGGCCGTAAACTTTTATGTTCGTAACAGTAGTACTGTACTGGTCGCGCTGGGTGTCATGGCGAGTTCATAAACAGACAATTGTCGCGGTCGTCGACCAAGTAGCTCATTCACTGAACGCTCTCGATATTGCCCGGCCGTTCAATAAACAACGTCACCACCTTCTGCGACGACATAAAGAGTAACGCACTGGCAGTTACGTTGATTCACAATTGGCATTACAAGGATGAGACGGGTCGAAGTCGCCGCAAACGCTGGCTTGATATATCTGCCCTCGTAAATCATCCACCGCGTATTTCAACTCGCTACATTTATTCGGTGATAAAATTAGTGGGCATTGTCACGCCTTCGCGCGATGATAGTTGGCTATGTGAAGGATGTGGTGGTTTCAGGGCTCCGGAATTTGTTATTGCCATCGCGACCAGTAAAATACCGTAGAAATAGAAAATTTCACCGAAACATTATTCGATAAATACAAAAATAAGACATTGCGAATTGAATTTGACGATTCTCTACACGTGTTTTCTTCACCGAATCTATTTTCTGACTTCTTAAACAAATTTATGCTCTTTAATACATATATCTCGTAATATTATAAGAAGACAATATGTGGGAAATAATATTATGTAAATAAATTCGAAACAATTAATATTAACTACACACAATAAGTATCTAATATCACTCTTGACTTATCGGCTTATAAGTCCGCTACTACTACTTTAATTCGTTTTGATTAAAAACAACACATTAGCTTCGTCACGAGAAAGGCAACAAGTGAAAAGCTCTCAATAGGTTCCAAAGACGGGAGGAGTTTTAGTCAGGTCAAACGTCGGCCCCAAGTTGTACGCGCACCGCGAAGTGGAATGGCGTCGTTTGGAGCGTGCAAGCGATCGGGGCGCGTGACTCAGCCCAGCGTTATTGTTCGAGACAATACATGGATGGGAGCATTAAAGCGAATCGCCACAGCTGTGGAGCCGTTTGAACTATCAAAATCCTTTGAACGGGCCGAGAACTTTTTGATTAAAGGACATATGGTACGTCTCGCCCGCGTCCAAGTTTTGGGCGGAATGAGCGATAGCTAGACGCCCGTGGGCGCCACCCGTACGGCCACGATGGTCCAGCGCCGCGATTTAATAAAGAGTTGGAGATATTTCTGCACATCTTCGAAAATAATCGCAATAAAGATCCAACCCTGCTCACTGGTCTGTTTTAATTGAAAATATTCTTATAACGTGAGTTACATAATTATATCAGCAGCTTCTTCGACCACTTCTTATTTGTTGATAAAATTAAGTGTTGCTAATTAATTTATATTAAAACTACCTACGAAGAATATCCCCTTAAGTATTCAAATATAAACCTTGGCAAAAATACGATGTTTCACTTAATTCCTAATTTTTAGCACAGAAACAGAAATTGGTAAAGTTTAAACTTGTAAAAGTTCCGTTAAGACGGTAGGATGGTTGCATGTTGTTTTCGTATTCGGCACTCCTATAACGGACTCTCGTGAAAATCTCTCGGCGTTGTCGACTCCACGGGGCCCTGGGCGCGTTAGGTGGAGGACAATTAACAGTTAGGCGGGGTCAACTACTACGGCGACGCACGCATACCGGTCAATTCGAGCAATTGGCGGGCAGGCGCGCGACGTGGGAACGCTGCGCACTGACTCACCGCTCCTGCTCGGAACCGGCACAGTTGGATCCCACTCCGTTCGATTTAATGGTCCACGGAGTGTCACCATACCTTATTAAATTTATTGCTTTCTATAAGTAAAGGTGGTTACCGAATTGGCGGTTCACCAGATGTTAAGCGATAACCGCCGCCCGTGGACATCTGCAACACCAGTAGATTCTGAGATGCACTGCCGCCATTTAAAAAGTGGGCCCCGTTCAGCTCATCCACCAGACGACAAGCACAAGTGATATACTTCAACTTCACGCTGATCTTCTGTGAGTTGTGGTGTTTGAAGGAAGACAGCCACGTGGTGCTACGATACAAAAACATTCAGGGTAAATAATGCTTTCGAACTTAATAAGATCCATGACACGCCATATAGTCTACCGCTGCATTAAAGATTTGACCTTCAAATGTTTGAGGTGCACCGTGTGACCAACAGCAAATACTTTAAGTTATTTTTCCATGCCGAAAAAGAGAAAAAGTAATACTGATGTCATGTGCAGTACTGAAATTTAAGCCCACTAATTCAGATCGTAGGTCAATGACCGCAGCCAATAGACCACATTTCATTCAAGAACGTAAACCAACCTCAAATTTATATAAAAAACAGCCAATGTTTAAGTTATTGGCGTAATCAAAATAGCCGACAGGAATCATGTAATGATAACAGACACAATGTTTAATTTTACGGTGGTAGGGCCACGTACGGTGGTAGGGCCACGCAGCAGCCTCGGCTGTTGCACGAATGGGCAGGCCCGTCCGGGTAAGTACCACGACCTCACAGAAGACCAGCGTAAAGTGGAAGTATGACAAATACTTTCGCGTTTCGTCTGGTGAGTGAGGTAGCCGGAGCCCAATTTTCAAAAGGTTGTCAACGCATCTGTAACCCTCGAGTGTAGCAGATGTCCATGGGCGGCGGTATTCACTTAACATCAGGTGAACCGTCTGCTCGTTTGACAACTTTTCGCATAAAAAAAAAAAAAAAAAAATACTACAAATTCGCTTGTAACAATTTCTAAGCAAAAAAAATTAGTATCTAAGATACAACGGCCACAATCCGCTATAAGCTCCGTAGCAAACTGGCGGCAAAAGATTTGATAATGTTGGCCAAACATCTGTCAAATATTAAAAAAATCCGAACCAGATGTACGCCGCACGGGTCCCCTTGCCATCTCGTTACTGGTAATGAGATGTTTATGTATCACAAAGCAACGGCACCCAGACAACCGCAAACGAATCGCAACGTCCCGCAAACACTCGGGCTGGAGCACCCGCCGCCGAGTGCGCTAATTCCGGCGCAGAGCGCACTCGACGCCAAGCATCAACACTTAAGCGCCCGCAATAAATCCGCGGTCCCTCTGAAATCAGCCGACAGCGCAAAAAAAACTCAAACAAATCGCCTCAGACGCAATCCGAAGCCCCGGCAATCTGCCAGGTATTCGCAACAAATTGGCCTTAATAAAATACTCCTTCTAATTAACGAGCGCTTCCGCCGGCGAGGGTAGGGCCGGGGAAAAATAATAAGAATCACCTTCTTAGATGGAAAGTGATCTGCCCTTAATTGCGACCATGGGGGAATGCCGCCCGCCCCTCCTCCCCGGCGCTGTAAGCTGACTGGGAGCGATTTGCTCCTTTATGGAAAACAATTGTAAAACATCCGTTGTTTTAATGAACTCATCTTGTAATAAAACCAATTGATTATGTCGTATTCACAACGCAATGTCTTATTCTTTTATGATTTTGTCGTGTTTTTCGATTTGTTTTGGGAGCATTTTTAATTTAATAACGTAGCGTATTTTGAAGGTCTGCAAACAGAGTGAACAATTTTGAGGTTTTCGGTTTTAGTAATATTACAACGGTATATATCTATGTACCTATATACATGTACCAGATCGATGCTTATTTCGACATACTTTCAAACAGCATGAATCACGGGGCAAGCTTTATTGGAATTTTCCTTAACTCTCATTAAGTTAATAGCGCAGATACGAACCTCGAATAAAGAAGACATTAATACTTCCTCGGACGTTTCCTCTCTTGTACCAATCATGTACAGCAAGAAATGTTGTAGCAAACAAGCACTAGATCCCGTGCGTAGCGATAGCGGAAGAATACCAAAGTAAGATAAATGGTATCACATCTAAGGATCTTCGATACTTCGCAACTGACTGTCGGGGCCCTTGGAGGCCGAGGAAACAAGCCGTGCAGGTTCCGCAAGAAGATTCTTATCGGGCGAAGTTGCCCTCAGGCGATACACATCGTGTTTCAGTCCGCTTGATTTATGCTCACAGTTAATCCGACTATTTACTAGTTTTAGTGGAAGGTAAAGAGGGCCTTTTTCGTCCGGCCCTTCGGTCTAAAACGCGGTCGGCGCAATGCATAAGATTCAGGGGGAACTAAAACTTATAGCGAACTTATGTAACCATTACGACTTCGCAATATATTCGATCAACACGTCTATTATAACTAACATAGATTACGTGTGTAAATTGCCCAATCAAAACTATGGCTGTTAAAAAAGAAGTCTCTAATTGATAAAATCTGGCTGTAACTTTTGCTTTAATATGCTGAAAGAATATATCAGACTATGTATATTATATAACCTTAATTTGCATTTAAACTATATTATAGTATCGCGTTTAAAATAACTTAATTTCTAGCATTTTCAAACACTTTTTAGCAAATGCGGAATGGTCTCCGGTGTTATGCAGCGCTCATCCATACTAATATTATAAATGCGAAAGTACCTCTGTCTGTCTGTCTGTCTCGGTTTCACTCCAAAACTACTGAAGCCGCTACTGCGCGAAGCCGCGGGCTAAAAGACATTAAGACAATAAGACATTTAATCCGACACTTCATCTGCACACATATTATATTTGGTTACAATGTTTATAATTACAAAATATCAAACTAAAAAAGCTAGTCCTTTCATAAAAGAAAGTTGTAAACTATCTTGAATCTAACTTAAAATAATTGATAACGATCTTTGCAACTTTTCACCTGATATTCAAACATTGACATTTGCAACACCTTACAGTCGGCAGATGCAGCGAAAGCCCGATTGGAAAAGTGGGCCCCGGCTACCTCGCTCATGGCATGTAACGCGAAATTCTCTTCACACCAATTTTACGGCGGCGGTTACCACTTAACATCAGGTGAACCGCGAGCTCGTTTGCCACTTTAAAAAAATCCGATGACCACAATCGCTTTCCGCTCCCTCCTCTCTCTCGGTCCTTTATCTCGCTAAGGACAGTTATCAGTCAGCCGGTGTGATGTATGCCCTGCCATGGTCGGGGGTCCGTCGCCCGGCCGCGTGACCGGAGCCTCTCGTCCTCCACGGCCTCCCGATAATTATCTATTTCACTTTCTCCCGTATTAACTAGCCCTATTACGTTAAAAAGGCCATCCGTTATGGGTGCGCCTCGTTTCGACCCCGAACGATATAAAGTGCCGGGCGCTTTAGTTTTCACAGTTTTGAGAATTTTAAGCCTTTATACATGTAAAATTACTACTTGATAGTTAGTTTGTGGTTGGAAGTATTAGAAAATTATTAAAGGAGACAATTTCTTCTTTTAAAATACATACTTCCAATTTTTTTTTTATTTTACAACTGACCTTACCCCCGGTCTGCAGTTATGCGACGCTATGCAAAGCCTCTTATGACTCTGAATACCGAACACTATTCGAAACGTCGAATATTCAAATTTGCATTAAGATGATAATATCCAAGACAAGTTTTATATATAATATACGGTATTAGCTTAAATATAGCTCAAATGTAATATAATTTTATTAGAACAGTTTTTCATTTTACTACTTAACGTTGTAAACCGTTGTTGTTAAACTTTAAACGTTGCACAACGACCTTTGGAAAGACAGAGGGCTGTCTTGTCACAACCTATGTCACGTGTGTCAGGCGCTCACTACTACAACGATGTGCAATATTTATCGACGAGTACGAAAACCAGCGCTTCTACCTGAAGTGGTAGAACATCCGTCTAACCGTTCAAAATGTATTGTCCCCTATATAATATATAGAGAAAGTAAAACAATTCATTAAGAATTCATCAATATTCAAAAGAGAGTGAGCACATGTAGTGAAGATATCACTAGAGATGAACTCTCTTAGATTTGACGGCGAGATCTGCATAGGAATGGGATGCATTCATCGGTCACCGACTGCGGTGCGACGCGGGACCTTATGTCTGTAATGTATTCATACCAGAGAGCTCCATTTAATGGAACGCTCCTATAAAAGTGCGATAAGTAAAAGCATGCACTAACTATTATAGAAGTGAATATGAAATGTTCTCGCTCTCTCTATGTTTTTGCTACTAGTTACTTTACCAAGTTAAGTTGAAATCATTTCTTTTCACGTGGCCCCGCCTAATATAATCGAAATTTTGGTGACAAAAGATTGTGGCTCATTACATAGATTTTTAGTCCATACTCGTAAATATTTTGAGTCATATATAGAACTAGCTTTTCGCTCGCGGTTTCGCTTGCGTTGTAGCCCTTAAATAAACATTTTTCCTTTAACCTTTTAACCTTCAATTTGGTAGGGCCACGCAGCAGCCGCGGCTGTTGCACGAATGGATAGACTCGTCCGGGTAAGTACCACGACCTCACAGAAGATCGTCGTCAAGTGGAAGTATAATACTTTCGCATTTCGTCTGGCGAGTGAGGTAGCCGGAGCCCAATTTTCAAAGGTTGCCAACGCATCTGCAATCTTCATTTGATGTTGTACTTAAATAACAATTAATATTATAATATCTTTGGATTGTCTACCTGACTCGGGCAGACTACGTTGCTCTTCAAGCTTTTCTACATAACTATTACGACAACATGATTAAGTACTGAGACGCGTACACATGTCTCCATTAACTCATCGTTTCATAAGCTCGCCTTTATTACTCAGCGCCAGATAATACCGGCATTCGCCTAACCTACAGACTGATGTCGCCTAAGTCAGGCAAGCGCTTGAATTCTAATTTTCCGCTCAGCAATTTACAATATAGTGCACAGTGAAATATTAGTAATACGCAGAATTCATTAAAACTTGAAAACATGAATATCAAACTTTGCTCTCAATGATTGTTCCTGACGTCACGTCGACCTCTTCATCGTGGTCCGGCGTTGCCATTGGCTGCTGAACCTATTCAAAATAAAACAGCGGTCATCGCAAGCTCGACCGCACCAACGCGACACTCGCTCGCTACCACTGTCACGCACGAACACTGGCCTTCTCAAAAATTGTTATGAACCGACGACAAACACAGTTCATTCATGTTGAAGATTTTTTATTAATCAAGAATTCCAATTTAATAGGAGCTTGATATTCAAACAATGATTCTCCATTTAATGTTCCGAAAAAACGATAATTGATTAATACTGTTCTTTGGCTTCGATTAGTACAAGCTGTGTCTTTTTTAAATTGTATTATTCCATCTGGTAGTAGTGTAGGATCTTCCGCCTCGAGATAGCTACCTTGTTCATATTTCAATCTAATTTAATTACTTTTTCTTTAAAATTTAATCTAATCAATAATAAAAAATAGGAATTTATTACTTAAATTATTTATTATTTAAGAATCATTATGAATTATAATTGTACTTATCAACAATATGATTGGCACATAGAGCTATCACGGGCTGACTTGTCAGTTATTCACGACTTGTAGGGAAATACCGAGAGAAAAGGAAGCGAAGCAATTGATCTTGGTTCGGAGATCGGCTGGGTGGCGTAGAGTCGCTGCCAGAGCACCTCGACGCAGCATATGCGGGCCCCGCCTCGTATGTCCGGTGGGCACTCGATAAATCATCCGGCGTACAGCGCGATATGAAAACTGCTTCACTTACATAGTATGTCAGGGACACACCGACGACGAGTTGCGGTATCCATACATCATGGTTTGTAAAGTTCCCTTTAAATATGCTACTATGTTTCGAGTACGTGACATTTAGCCGCTTGCCTATTAAAAAAGCAGTATTTATACCGCATAGTGGTAGATTTTAGGAGATCAAAAATTAAAGTATCAAGAGACTTATTCAACATATTACTAAGCAAAAGTCATGCCACGGTCAAGGGAGATAAGTGTCGTTTACTTCCTAATTTTATAGTTAGTCCGGACTAAAATCTATGCAGTAAGAGATTCCACTATTTTGAAAAATATACAACAGAGTTTAAATTAGTAATACAATCAATATCGCCAAGAACTTTAGCTTTCCTAATGAAAAAAAAAACCTGTCTTTATCATTTATTAATATTCAACCAATTAGTATTAAAATTTTAAACTAAATTAGAAACTATTATTTTTATCTGAAATAAACCTAACAACTGTTCGTAATTAGCAAAAGGACTAAAATCCAAGCAATGAATCGCCACAGAGTTGCGAAGACACAAAATGTAGAGTTCGAACTCTACCTTTCTATCTCTTCCGAAAATGTAGAGTTCAACTGTAACATTTTTATCGCGAGAGGTTCCGTCCAGTGTGCCACCGGTCGGGCAGTTATCAGCTGACGGCGATTTTACTGCGCTTTGATTGCGTTCGCGCAGCGCACAGTGGTCCAATACTGCGCGCTGCACCAGTGGCACATATTGATGTCTTAATATCGCTGGCCGAACGGACAGCGCTCTTACGACCAATATCACCAACATAGCCGTTCCAGCTCCCTCGTAAATCCTCCACTATTGGCCCGATTTATTTTCCGGTGGGAATTTATTAAGCGGACGTCGCGGACCGGCCAGTGAGTTTGAAATATTGTAATTAGACGTAACTCTGCTTTATGAACGATATCATCAAAATTCAAATTGATTTTTTTATTTGCTGTGTTATATCCATACCAATTAACATAACCGGTTACTCACCTATTCATAATCTTGCGTATGTGAGGTATAAGTAAAAAGATTGAATTAATTTCATAATTTAACCCTTCGAGTCAAAAACTAAGTTCGAGAACAAGGCAAGAGAAGGCATCCGTAATTCTGTATACATGTTATATTCAAATATCTAACATAAAAAAAGATAAGTTTTCAAACTTCTATTGACTCGTCAATAAATGTCCTTATAGCGCCGCTGATGGACATCCACTGCAAGTAGACATTCTTTTAAGGCTCGCAACATCTATTTGCAATCTTTAAAAGAGTAAGTCCGGATACCTCACTCAACAACACAAACGAAACACAGCAGTACAATACTTCGATCGACGCTTTTTTGTTTGGCCCTAGAAATCAAAAAATCAAAATCAAATGTATTTATTCAACATAGGAGCATTACACTCACTTATTGATAGTCAAAACACTACCACCGGTTCGGAAAAGAAAGCCACTGTACTGAGAAGAACCGGCGAAAGAAACTCAGCGGGCTTTTTTTTTTTTTTTTTTTTTTAAATAAGCAGTTTGACATAAATTCGTTAAAATACAATATAAGAACTCCGATTGAAAGAGCCTGGAGCGATCAGTTCATTACCAGAGTGTGTTATCATTTAAATAATCATTAATATTATAGTAGCCTTTAACACACAAACGTTCTTTTACTATTTTTTTAAATTTAGCTATTGATGCATTTTGAACGTTTTCTGGAATTTTGTTGTAATAACGTATACATTGTCCCATAAAAGATTTACTTATTTTACGGAGTCTACTTGTGGGTAGGATCAATTTATTTTTGTTCCTAGTATTTATATCATGAACATTATTATGTCTTAAAAATTTATCCTTATTTTTATGGACATACAAAACATTTTCAAAAATGTATTGAGCAGCAACAGTCAATTTTCAAGACGAGCCTGCCCTTACGTGCGATAGCAAAAGCTTTTACGTAGCGCTACCACAGTAGAGTCAGTCAGTGACATTAAGAAAAGTAATCAACTTAGCGACTCACCCTTTAATTAATTGTCATATTAAGGTTACTGACAAATTTAAGTTGCCTTTTGCGTATTCATATTATTTCCTCCTACTCGTTCCATAGCGTCATAACAAACGTTATAATGGATAGCATCTTCTCGATACGCATTCGTATGGAAATGAGGAGGGCATGATTGTAAATTACTCTACAACTCGCAAATATACGGACAAGCGTCAGGGTTGCTAGCCTCCGTTGATTAAAAGGGTATTGCATAAATTGCATTATGTATGAAACTGATAGAAGAAATATTTTAATGAGAAAAGTTGGCAAGCCAGCAGGCGGCCTGATGTTGAATTAATACGTTCATGGACATCTGCAACACCCTTTGGCTTGCTGATGCGTTGACAACCTCTAAAACTGTGGACCCTGGTTACCTCACCCACCAGACGAAACGCGAAAGCTTAATACTTTCACTTCACGCAGGTCTTCTGTGAGGCCGCGGTACTTTCCCGGTCGAGCCTAGCCACTCGTGTCACAGCAAGTAATAAGAGATGGAGATCATTGCCTTAAATAAATTAACTGTAACCGGAATTCAATTCGATTCTACTATCGATTCTTCAACAGTTTAATTATTAATTCAAATATTCAGTGCTGATTCACCACGTCGGCAGTGAAATAAAGCAATTGAGAGATAGCCTGCACCGAAATAATTTTAAAAGAAAACATATATGAACTCTGACAATGCGCACTTTATATCAAGGTATATTTAAATGTTTCATTAATGATTTATAGAAATCGTTCAAACTGTGTTGTATCCAGCAATCAGAGCAAAATCTCCAAGTTTATCTACAAAATACCCCAAGACATCAACCGGCATGCAATGTAAGAATCGAAAATCATACTTATGAAAAGGTTAGTGGTCACATTTGTGGCAACCCTGTGCAGCGTGAACTGGCGCTGTAGGGGAAGCAGGAGGTGAGATTAATTACGGAGGCATCTGAACAGACGTTTGACGCCGCTACCGCGTACACACGGCAGCGCAGGCTCCTCGTGACATTCGCCCTGACCAATATGCACCGAAACAAAATCTCGACTATTCCTGCAAAACGAACTTTTACTTACTGGTTTTGAATTTTACAAAAGATGCCTTCTTGGTATCTCCATACCTGATAGTAGGACAAGCTCCTTACATTCATTAAATATTTTTTTTTATTATGAGAACAACTCATTAGTTAGATAAAAAAAAATTTCAAGCCCACACTATCCTTTTCTTAGATTAAGCATTGATACAATACTATCTGTATAATAAGTACAAATTAATGTGAAATCGGCAAATTATTAACGTGAACAAAACGCGTAATGGTGTCAGCTTAATATTTCAGAACGCGTTTAGCTCCCAGTTACATAATCAGTAATTTCTTAAAAAGTAAAGGAATTAAATTACAAAAGACAGTTAAAATAACACCAACATATAACGACATATAAAAAATATTAAAATCGAACAGTTATACTGAGCTGAAAATGATTGCAGCGGAATTGATTTGCAATCAGTACCTATCAAGTGCTGGTCACCTGAAATCGCCTGGCGCCGCGTTGTCGCTTTGGGGGCGCGGGGTGGCGGGGGGCTGGGGCGGCGGGGAGGGGGCGGTTGAGATTAATTACTGTTTGATCCCGCTACAGGGCCCCAGGTACCGGTGAGTGACACGAACATTACGTGTCCAGTGTCACCCGCTGATTTAGTGCTCAAGCTGCGTCTAGAGGTAATCTGAACAGCGCGAGTGATGTATTTGCAATTATAATTGTCTAACAATATGTGTTATGTACGATACGTTACAATGTTGTCGTCATGGACCGTAAAATTGCAGTCAAATATATGCAAAGAAAATTGATTTATTATACCAACAGCGCTATACCCATATGTAACTTAAAATATATAGAGTAGTAAAGAAAACAATGAATTTAAAATTTTATTACATGTTTAAAACGTGAAACATTATTTTAATTGACTAATTTAAAGTTGAACTTTCTCTTTTAGTCTAAACACACTAAAAGTCGTAACCCAACTCTTTTTTTTTTTTTCAACCTCAGACGTATCTGCCCGTCCGGGCAACAACGCGGACTGTTGCGTATCCCTCCCACATTTTTCCTGCGTATACTAATGACTATACTACTATACGCTCAGGAGAAAAAAATGTTTTCCTCACGTGATATAAGTTGCTTAAATTTTATCATCAACATTTGGATTTATTGCTAAAGATGTTATTACTTATAGCACAGGTGAATAATTTTCAAGTGGTATTTAAAGCTTTACTTTTACTTACATATTTCTGTCTTTACGATATGATCGCTTGCTGCTCATCATGGAGCTAGTTGAGAAAGTATCAAGAGATAAGTTAAGGTGGTACACGTAAAAGATCGTCAGAATACATAGACAACTGGCAAAACATCTGGCTGTTTTGCGGTAAAGATTAAGCGGCAGTGACGCCTCTGCATTTGATTTATAGGTCAGAACGAAATGGCGATGTCAAAAGAGAGAGAGAGAGACGAAGCGCTGTTTGAAAAAGGTTAACAATTAAAAAGTCAAAACAAACCCGTATAGGTATGGGTCTGTTAATAATTCGGCGATCGCCGCTGGCAAAAAGGCAACGGACGGCACTCAGTGCAAATTAATTACGGCCTCCGTAATACGCTAAGTAATGACCCTTGTACATTTGACAGCGCCCGTCGACAGGTGCTGACGTCGGCTTAACTCACTAGATCGGCCAGAGTTATTGCATTGACCATATACGATAGATATTTTACTTTCGACAAAGAGGACATTTAAAAATGTTTCAAGAATTTCATACAGTAGCCCATATTCTGCATATTTATGGATAGTATGATTTATGGAGGTCTTCAAATGTTTTTTTAAATATAATTAAAATATGTAAAACAGTCCTATCTTGTGAGCATAAGCCTTAGGAAAAGATAATTCGATACGTATATACAAGTAATGTTTCTAATGATCTACCTGTTTGAGTTAATTTTACCTTTGTTGAATTATTGATAATATGCATATGATAGATGAGAGTGTATATGACTATCGTATTATACTCCTAGTCTTCCAGCATAAGCGAATTGGACCAAAATAAGGCCCATCTAGGTGTGGCTAGCGCGGCGTTGCCGAGATGAGACGTGTAGGTATCGGCGTTCGGCGTTCGTCGGCCATTAGCGAGATATGAAAGAACAGGTCAGCGCCGGCCCTAATCGACGCCGCAATCCATCACCCACGTGAATAGGTGGGCGAGCGGCGTCAGCAAAACAGTCGAACACCTTTTCGCTAAAACATGAGAGGCAATTTAACTTTATCACAGAACCTTTTCTTTCCGTTCACAATCCTCTGACAGCTCTGTTATTGCGGAAATCTAGTGATGATTACTTACGTTTTTATTCTTGATTTTCAAATCAACTTTTTGGGATATTTGACCAAATTGTGTCGTATGACTGATGTTCATGACAATTCACAACGCCAGAGATATTTAATTTTGATACAAACTTGTTGAAAAAAAAATTGTTTATAAGGTTTCCTCATCCAAACTCTGTCCAAAATCAGAACACACTGTTCATACAATGCTCACGCGCATTTTACACCTGGGGTTAGTTACCACTTATCTTCTGGGATGAAAGTGCCTTAAATTAAATAAGCCTCAGTAATAGCTCTCTAAGAAGTCTGTCACTTGAAATATATACGTTTTAAAGCGAATAAAAAATCGGATAATAGTATGAATAGAAACTAAGATATCTTGCTTCTGTTTTTTAAGATTCAGTTCAAGGCTAACATCTTAGTCAATCAATATGTCCATATTGATAAATATTTTTAATTCATTATTCAGATATTTTTACACTATTTGCCATTCCTAAAAACTCTGATATCTCGATAAAATCTATACATTGTTGAAAATATGTTTTCAATGAATTGTGACAATAACTTTATGTGAAGGAATATGAAATTGTGTTCTAGAAATATAAAGTGATACTGCATTTTCCACAATATAGATACAGATAATAAAATAACCTGAGATATGAGCTTACCCTAGACAATGCTAAAACGCCAATTCATTTGCCAAGTGCATTTATGTATTCTTTGAGCATAAGGAATACTTATCAAATCGCTGCAGCAATTGACAGGAGAACAGTCGCAGCTGTCCCGTATCGAGGTGCTGTCGGTACGCGATCTTTAATAACGGCTTGGCAACTGATCGATCGCTCCTCATTCGCTGGCATTATCTATTCATCTGCACATATTAATATAATCAAATCACTCATGAATAAGGCATCTTGTTAAAAGCTAACAAAATAACAACAGATCCATGTATTCGTAGAGTAGTAAACTTTTCCAGTTTCTTCCTTTTTTAATTTTATAATAAGATCTTAAGTCCCTTATGTCTGTATTACAAGATTCTTAAAGATAGACACTCTATTATAAGCTTCTTATAGATACTTATAATACAGTATAGTTATTACTCTTACGTATGTTTTGGTGTGGAATTCATCTTTGAACAATATTTTTAAGTGTTTCACATATGCGAGTTAGCATTTTTGTAAAATTATCTGGTTTGAGTTTAGTTGTAGTAATTAAACACTAAACAGTTCATTGTCCAAAAATGCCATACTATGGAAAGATTTTTTAAGACTAAGTTAGACATGTTTTCAGAAATACTATATCATTAAATATTATATAAGTATTATACTAACTCATTTGTCAGTACGAATATCTTCTCAAATTACTACATTTAAACTTGCAATTAAAACTAAAATATAAAATCGTACATAGCGCTAAACACAATCGTAAAACAAATAATATTCGGCCACTAAGCTATTACAACGCACGTGCTGTGTCAAGGCGTGTCGAATTTATAATAAATAGCCCTTCATCATGATTCGTCATAAAATCAAAATTATATGTTTTTATACTAGAAATGAGAGCTGCCAATACGAGCGCTATAAGAGCCGTGATAGCTCAGTGTCCGGGCGCTCGCCTTTAATTCAATATACTCGAGCAACCCGAGTTCGATCCCCGGTACCGGCACCAATGAAGTTTTTAACTTTATGTGCTGACTTATCACGTGCTCCGCGGTGAAGGAAAACATCGTGAGGAAACCTGCAAATTTTCGAAATAGTAATAAAAAAAATATATTTTTCGAAGATATGTGAAGTCCGCCAATCCGCAGTGGGGCCGCGCGGTGGGACATGTATAGGCTGTTACTTTACTTTTTACTATACTAGAAATAAAAATGTTACTAAAATTAGTTTAGTATGAACATACCCGCTTTATTTGAATTACTTTAATCTTTGCTAATATTCATGCAATAACATTTAAACATATTTGGCGACGAAACAGTGGTAGGGCCCCGCATTAGCTTTTGATGCACGAATGGGCAGGTCCGTCCGGGTACCAAGATCACACAGAAGACCACAAGTGTTGTAAATGTCTATGCTGTGGTTATCACTTAGCATCAGAAAAGAGTTTGTTTAGAAGGCATATACCGCTAAGACAAAAATATAATTGAACTGCAGTATAACTGTAGGTTTAACCTCATGTTATATAAGTCGAATGATGGTCATTCTGTGAAACGAGAAAACAGATATTTCTCAATGGATTTCATAAAGTTTTCTAGACAAGTTACTTGTTTATCGTGTAACCTTTAACATTTTTCTGGGCGCGCTACGAGTACTCCAAATAGAATCTCATCAGAGGCAGCATTAGGCACATGTGCGGAATCCGATTGCACGCCATAAGGTGTCGCTCGCCTCGGCTCGTCCTCATCTGCCTCTAATCCATTAGCCACCTCGCGTCCCATATTTAATTCCCGTCCCCCGCACCTAAGCAATTGTCCGGACGCCATCCGCGCACATGTCGCTGCCCCAGCGACGTATAAAATTTGATAAATTGAACCGCCAACATGCGAACTACCCTCTTGGCTTAAACGGCACGCGTCCCGTGACCGCCGCGCGCGGGGCGATCGGATTTGAACCCTGTACTACAGGAAGAGGAGCCATTATTCGATGGCAAATATTATTGTAACTTATTATAGTTTAGGGGGCGACAGTTCAAGAATGACTTATGATTATTTCACGGTTTTGAATCCAATGCCTACGATCGCAGAGATGAATATCGAATGAATACAGTTAAAGATTACCGCACGGCGGGATGGGTGGAACGGCAAATGCACTTTAGTGAATGCCCGTGCAGTAACCGATTTCGCGAGGGACGGCGTAGGTAAGATAATGCAGATGTTTCGAGGGTAGAAGGTAGCGCTCCCCTCGCGTAGCCCCGACATTGATGACAGCAGCAATTCCGTTTAATGCTTTCAATTAATATGAACGCTTCACGGACGCCGAGAGGAAGATTACTTTAAAAAATATCGCATCAGGAACCGACACGAAGAGATGACGAGCGAATGTTTACAAGTCCTCTTTGTTTTACTGCCTCAATATTAAATTACGGGCGCCGCAATCCAATTCGGCGCGTAAAAATTGAATTGGGAACTTCGCCGGCGCGTTTACAGTCGGAATAAAAACGATCCATCAATTCGGGATCGCGGGGCGAAAGTTTCGCCATCGGGCTCCCGCTCACCGGCTGGAAATCGATATGAAATTAGCTAATGGAAACTTGATAGCCGACAAAAAACCGAATCCCCGCAATCCCCCGTGAGCGCATTCGCGACAATAAATCTCTGCATTGTCCCATTCGGCGACAGATGGGCCATTACACCACCCTCCCTTACAGGTAACTCAACACCGTCGAGCGGACCATTAACATAAAGCGCTGGACGGTGCCCCCTGCGTTGTACGGGCGGTGATTTAAAGCGATGCCAGCGCTTGTTCGCCGTCAGGTAACTGCATTAGACACGTACAATAGAATATTCAATTATGCTAATGCGAGTCAGCCGGGACATGTGCGCGCGCGTCGGCCGCCATTTTTGCTCGGGCGAGCGTGCAACGTGTTTTTGGATTAGGTCGCCCGTTTGAATTGCAACGGTCGGATTACCGGTTGGGGTTACTTGTTCGCGATTTGACTGGGCATTCGTAGTGAAGGTTTTGTGTAGTAAAATTGTATTTAGGGAGTTATGTTTTTTCTTTGATTACTCCGCGGTCATCTCACGGTTTTCTAGAAACTGTACCTTTTTTAGTAGGATAAATCGCAAATAGAGATTAAAGTTATGCAAAATGATTTATATCAACTACAAAGCTTATTTAAAAATCATTTCAACAATCCAATTCTGGACATAAACAAGTCTTGTGAAATGTTTATAAGTGAATTAAGAAACGGTTGTGTACCGAACGGGGGCTATAACAGTTCCGTGAGCTCGTTCAACCTCCGAGCAATTTCCTTGTTGACTCACCTTACTGCAAACAGCAGTAACCGTGAGCGTACGCCTAATGACCGCCAGTGGCAGCCAAACGGCCGCCATTTGCCGGTGATATGGTTATCGCGACATTAACACCACCTTTGCGCGCCGACAGAGTAGCTTCGTAATTAGATTTTGTGCATGGAGATAATTCGAGATCTTAAAGGTGACTGGAATTGTAAAACGAGTCCGCGGACGAGTACGACTCGGTGGCGCAGCTGCTGAGGCATTGGCCCCGATGCCAGGGGTCGTGGGTTCGATTCTCACACGGGACAAAAATTCGCGTGCGACCTGCGACCTGCGTGTTCTGCATTTTATCCCCAAGTATTGGTTGACGTCAGATAGGGTGACAGTAATTATAATAAAATGCGGCATTAGCTCCGGTTACACCGCACACCAGATGAAACCCAGAGGTATAACACCTCCACTTCACTACGGTTTTCTATTAGGTCAAGGTACTTCCCTGTATGGACCTGCCCATTCGAAGCGAAGACTGTTGCGTGGTCTGGGGTCGTGGCTTCGAATCCCATATAGGATAAATATTGTCACACGCGGTGTTACACACGGATATGGTGTTTAATCCCAAGGATTGGTTAATGTTTTGTACAAATATAATACCGTTGAAACCTAAATAACATTGACTCTTTATATATTTACTCCGTCAGTGTTAAAAGACTACTAGGCATGTTGCTTAATTTTATTATAACTGCTTATCTCTACGGTTATGATCGTGAATTCATGGCAAACGGCAGAAAAAGAGTTTGTTTGCGAGATCTATTTTTATTGTGTCGGCTTAATCGTCAACCGAACAGCTGTAGTAGTTCAACGCCCGGACATTTGTTTATTTTTTAATGTGTTGCCTATGAGCATTGGCTAGAGGAATACCGTCTCGGAGATATGTTTTAATCTTATTATACTAATCGCTCTTTTCTTATGAACAAAATATATTCATATAATGGATTTAATTAAATATTTAAAGATGAAATTTTGAAAATTTTGATGAATTTTATTGTAATCCCACAATCAGATCTTGGTTTTTATTTTTATAGGACCAACCCAAGTAAAAATTCGTGGTAACGTCCACCAAAACAGTCAATTGAAACGTATTACTGAAATTACTGAATTAAGAATTATTACTGAAAGAGAAAATATTCCAACGAATTGAGCACTTTTAGTGAAATCTTTTTGGAAATATACTGTTCAAAATTTAAAGGAGACAACTAAAAGTATGATAATAATTAAGATATGATTGAGATCAGAAGAAATTCAATCCAGATGTAACGATAGTTGGTAACGACTTGACAATTCCGCGGAATAAGTCCCTAGCAATTATTTTTGGCCAATAAAATTCATCTACTCGGGCCGGTTTAATATTTACGAGGCCTCAACGGGCGCGGATAGATCAAATTTCAATTCCAACTTTGCGCATTAAACGGTTAGCGGAGGCCGGTGGCGTGCCTCGGGGAGTCGTCTGCCGACGCCTAATGACCGAGCCACTCTTGGCTCCTTGGTAGAGCGGGGTCGCGGCGGGCAATGATTGTTACGCGGCCGCTACGGTGCCCGTAATTACGCGAGCGTAATCATATTTTTACGAGCCGACGGCGGATTAGATGTTTATTGTTGCCCGTTTCACAATGGCCTTTATGGCGGACGTTGTTCGTCGGATGAGATTTTTTGGGTGCCCTAAGGTTTATTGTTGCGATGAGATAATTTTATATGAATCTCGCTCGGTAACGCTGGTGATTGACAGATATGCCAAGTAGATTATTGTTACTGTCATATCATCCGAAATAATTCACGTATCCCCTGTACTAAATTTATCTTACACCAAGATGTACATTTTCAGATGTTATACATTTTGGAAATTAAGTTTAAATACGACTGTCGATGAAAATGTGAATAGTCTCGCCCTTGAACATCTACTAACCCTGTGGCGTTGTAGGTGCATTGCCAATGTTTAAAAGATTGGGAATGGCGTTGTAGGTGCATTGCCAATCTTTAAAAGATCGGGAATGATAAGGTCACTGGCGTCTTCTGTGCCTGCATGAGACTGCCCATTCATGCAACAGTAGCTGTTGTGTGGTTCTCACACGGTAAAAATTATCTTGGTTTACTTAAAATCTCTAAGCATCAACTCCTCACATGGTTTAATACAAAGTCTCTGTGTGTTTAGATTCAGGCAATCTGGTAACAGATGTGAGAGTAGGGATACCATTAACTTTGTTTATTTTCAGGAAGCCAACTTATTTTACAATTTCTTTAACCTAGTTATTAAGCGTTTTTTTTTAATGTGAAAAGTTACCGAACGAGCAGACGGTTCACCTGATGGTAAGTGAATACCGCCGCCCATGGACATCTGCTACACCCGAGGGTTACAGATGCGTTGACAACCTTTTGAAAATTGGGCTCCAGCTACCTCACTCACCACACGAAACGCGAAAGTATTTGTCATACTTCCACTTTACGCTGGTCTTCTGTGAGGTCGTGATACTTACCCGGACGGGCCTGCCCATTCGTGCAACAGCCGAGGCTGCTGCGTGGCCCTACCACCGTAGAGCAAGTTATCGTGTTTGGCTTTAATCTGTTGTAATATTGAACAAACAAAACTTTGTTTATTTTACACACCTATTCGTTTATATAACAAGTCCGAGCCAGAAGTCTATGAACAATAACGAGATAATTAGAGCTCGTTAGGGAGCTGATAAGGCGTTGGGCGGAACGTGCCGCGTCCGCGCCGCGCCAGATCCTCGCTATGTTTGCCGGCCGACGCGAGATCCGCGACCGCTAATTGCCCCCGCGCCTAATTCCTCACGTATACCCGCCCCGTTAATAACGCCCGCTTCGTCGTTTCCTGCCGCCTTATCTGTATCGATCGTAAGCGATCGCACGGACGTTATTAGCTAGATACAAAAGGCTCAAGAGGTTAATAAGGTATTCTGACGAGGTTTTTAGTTCATTTGAAGGAAACTATTTTAGGGATTTATTTGCGTTTGAATTTGATTTTAGATTCATGAAGTGTTGGACCCTTTCCATCGTTCATGGCCATGGGGCTTCATCAATTTATTAGACGCAACTTTACAAAAACACAAACTTATATTTTCTGTCATTATTATGCATAATAACTAATCATAAGAAGAAAGGTCGCCTATCTAGGACGGTATCAATTGATAATGATGGCTAAGGTCGCTGGCAGAAGTGCTATTGGACGTAGAAAGAAATCATGGCTATGCAATATCTGGGAATGGACCGTCACGGTAGTCAAGGAGCTTTTCAACCTTGCCAAAGATATGGTGAAATATGCGGAGCTGATTGCTATCCTTCACTAGTAAAGCACTGGAATAAGTAGTTTTAATTATTAATAACTTAAACTTTGAATTCCTTAAACCTTGAACTACGAATAAATAGATAATCTCCATTTAAGGCATTGTGTAGCATCAGACGATAATTATCTTAGATGAACTAATCAAATAATTCAATTAACGGTACGCGTTAAAACAACACCAACACCGGATGTACTGCGTTCATCGATGTATTGTTTCCTAAACAGCCCATCAGAGTCCGAGCGTACGGAAAATAAGCGAGTACGGAGCGGCGGATCTAACTGCGGCTGGAGTGCTCTAAACCGGTGCTCTGCGCAAAACTGGTGACGCCCTGCGGACCCCGCTCTGCGGAACTGGAAATCCGTGGACATGTTGTTGGACTTAATTATCTGAAGATTAAAAATTAATTAAAAAAAATCCCCCTTGCTGTAGGATAACGTTATCCTGTGCTGTAAGGTCGTTTCAAATTCGAAAAAAAATTATCCATGGGTCACACAAATAGTGGGAATCGAGCCCCACGACCCTCGGCGCCGAATTTAAAGCTTGGAAACTGTGCCATCGAGTTATCAAAGTAGATTGCATCTACTTTAAATCATAAGTCAAAATTGGATCTGGTAAAATACTGGTTCGAGTCTCGCAGGGCAGGGAGATTTTGACCACTTATCTAAAAAAAACTCCCATTTTGACAAAAAAAGAATATTACATCTAATAACAAACCAAGTTATTTCCTTTAAGGTTAAGGAATTTCCTGAGTATTTTTAGACAAAAACCAGTATTTTTTTCTATCAAGTGACATCGACAATTATTTAAGAAAACAATTTATACTGATCTTGATCATTGATTTGTTCCTGGATTAATAAAAGATCGGTTCGTTCAAAAAAGCAGTTTTTAGCTGATACCTGTGTCAAACGGCAGCTATACCTTTCGCCTTGTGAGCAAATTTAAATCCAAAAAATCATTTCATTGGCAATATCAACGACCTGCAGCGTCGTTGATGTTGCCGATGACAACGAGCATTGACTATCATTGATTTATGAAGTTTACTGTCAGTATAACCGCTTTCAGAGATAGTAAAGTAAATTCAGAACTCTCGTTTCACGAGCAAAACCCTCCTAACGGCCACTCTATGCAGTGCGAATGCAGTGGAGCCCGCGACCGCACCTTGTCAGCTCACAAATTGACGTGGATTGTTGGCGGTGGATCTTTGTCACGGCGCGATCGACGGGAGTCGACCAGCCGCGTCATGCGAACACCGCCCCACTGGATGAGCCACGAATTCTATAGTCACGTCGCCAAATTGGCCCTGAAACTCTTTAATAGAAAATTAGATGGCATACGTTTTTAAAGATCTTAGAGATATATTCAGTTTGCATTAATATAAAGAGCCTCAGTAAACATTCACGGTTATATAAAAATCTTTGATTACTACTGCGCTGAACTCAAGCTTTAATGTATTTGGACTATATGTTTGAATTTGAAAGACCAGACTAAATTGAATAAAAAAATACTACATTTAGCTTTGAAACAGTTAATTAGTATTATAATGTTTCAAAGTAGTTTACGATAAAATTAAACACCGTTATTACATAACGTAATACTTCCTTTGTTCGTCCTTCAGTTATCGTATCCTTTCCACTACGATACAACTAATAATTTGTTTGTTGTAGTTCAGCAACATTAATTATAAGCTAATTTGTATGTATATTAATTCTTAAAACATCATTTATAAATACAAAACCTGCG